GTTCAAATCCTATTTGGGGCACCACTGATGTAGCCTTGAGCAAGGCACTTTCCCCAAATTGGCCAGTAAATTCCCTGCTGTATAAAACAGTACTCACCGGCCCTCTTGTTGGAGAGGAGAGTGCATTCTATTCAGAATTGGCTTTACTAGTTAAATAAAGCATTTAAAAATAAGTTTAATAAACCACTGCTCCATCTACGTGGAACAGCTACAACAGGAGTCTTTAGTCCTGGCCCTGAAGAGCCTTAATCCAGCAGGATTTGTAGTGTGGGAATTCATTAAACTGTCAATTTCTTTCATATCACCAATTTCAATTTGATTACTTCGCAGTAGATGTGTTAAATGAAATAACTTTGAAATCATTTAGAGCACAAATCTGAATGCTTTTCGTCCCTCAAGGATCTGAGTCCTGCTAAATAAACAAATTACTTGCTTAATTAGAAGCTTTAGTAATAGGATATTTAGTATGATATAAAAGACAGACAGGACCAAGGGTTAGAGACCCTGTCCAAAACTTTGACATTGTATGGCTACTAATAACATTACTTCTGGACAGACTTCTCAAAGGGTGTTGGAGTCACAAAACAATATGGGTTTTACTTATGTGAACCTTCTAAAATTGTACTGTTCTGGTAGAAGTCCTTCTAAGACTGCTGACACTGTAGAAATATGCCTGTTTCACATCTGTAGGTTTCATTGAATTGTTATAATCATGCAGCTGATATTTTTAAAGAAATGTACTTACCGTAGTGAATATGGAGTTGGCATCAGGTAGAGGATTGGATTAAATCAAAACTTCCATGAACCTGCCATGTGTCAATTACAAAACCAATACTTGAGACTGGGGTATTGGAGAAAAGCTTCTTCCTTCTTCATGGTAGACACAAATAGAACTTGCTTTATAGTTTATGCCTGGGAAGTGACTCAGTGTTTTGATTTTTCCAGGCTTTGGATTTAGGGATTATTGTCTCATGTTTGTCATGTTTGTGCTTTTCTGCATATTGGTGAGCAGTAAATGCTTTTAGATATGAGAAATAGCACTTTTTTCACTCTGTGTCAAATTGAAGCTTACTTCTATTGAAATTAATGCCAATACTAACGGATTTGGAATAAACAGTATACAGTTTGACCAAATTAGTTGTATAGTAGATTTGTTTGAATCGATGTAGTGATCAATATGTAACTCAGTTTTGAGTGTTGTGTGTCTATTCTTAAAATCTAATTAAACACCTACAGTAATTAAAGAAATACAAATCCATTTGAAGAAGCACAATATTTATCAGGCTTATCTTAGTACTTCATATAGCCAAGAGGGAATAACACTACAATAACAGTCTGGAACTAGCTCATTTAAAGACAGCATACTTATTCTACACACAAATGAAACATTTGCTGTAGTGTAACTTGAACAATTATTGCATTGCACTCTTGTTTTCCGTGATGAAAGATATTTTCTAATCTCCTCTGCCAAAGGTTTTATAAATTAATAACTGTATCATATGAATGCAGAAAAAACTCTATTAATGTCATTGATTGTTCTTTTAAAGACTTATTGTAGAATTGATTTTTTTGATTAGCAAAATGGATGTCTTTATTGCGTGGGGTATATTTGCTGTTGCAGTGTGTGAGTTTTGACAAGCATTGAAAATAATTTTCTTCTGAAATTGAAAAGAAACTTGAATTCATTCCACATACACTGTGAAATATTTTGACATCGTCTTAATCAGTTTGTTTTAGGATCATAATCTAAATGTCTGTAATATCCTGTTGTTGAATATACCCAAGAAGCTGGTATAATTATAGTAACCTGAGTTCTTTGTTCTGTGGCAAAGCTCTGTTGAAGGAGTAATAAATCAGAGTTAAAGTAAAATAAACTAAAAATAAGTATTTATTATCAATAACACAACCTAAACATCACACAGCACAACATACAATATAAAAACAGAATATAACTGAGAGAATATAAATCTCTCTTCCTATAAATCTGGAACCTATCTCCCTATTCTAAAAAATGCATCCACTAACCAGGAAAGTTTATAACCTGGGGATTCTTTATAAAGGAAATCAGAATTTCCTAAAATAATAGATAGCAAGCTCTCTTGAACAAGGTCCAAATACATAGTTAGAATCCGGTCTTTAATTCCTCTTGCCTGGCATGCACTTCTTTTCTGCCTCCCTTCCTTATGTGTTTCTCTACCTCTCTAGTTCCTGCTTCGTATTGTCTTTTATTCTGGGTTTCCCACTGATGAAGACTCTGAAGAATGATTCACCAAGAACATAATTAACATTAACTGAGGCAAGCTAGGTGATTCCTTTCGATCTATTGTCTCTCAGGACACCTACTGTGCGGCTCTGCAAACACCACAGTCTTATATCATTGTTTCCAGATCCTGAGACACATCAGTGACCACTTCAATAGCTGTACCACTATTGATATGTATTTAATGTTGTTATAAACAGGTATAAGCATTATCAGATACCCTCACCCCTGGGATTGCAATCAGGAGTAAGGTTTAGGCTCCTGATGGTTTAGTCAGATTTAGGGGTCTGTTACACTGTGACATAATCTAATACTGAGGTTGATCAAATCAAAAAGTAAAAAGACACCCCAGTAACACTTGCTTTTCTTTCCCATGAGAGGTGAGAGATTTTTTTTATTTACTATTGCTTAGTTGGTTGCAAATTATCCTTTACTGTTTTGACTGACAGAATACTCATGAGGTGCAAATGTATTGAGCAGAGCAGTCAGAAGGCGAATTCATTCTAAGATATTAAATGATGTACTCCTCACTAGACTGGTCTCCATGTATATTATACATTGATTTTGGATATCCCTTATTCTTCTAACAGAGATGATTGTGTGAGCACTTGCAATTCCCTTTCGCTAACCATGTGTTAATTTGCTAGCAAAACAAAAAGTTTATTTGAGCTTTCATCCTGTAACTCCAGTGTTAGTGTTCCCGCTTCAATATTAAGGTTACTGAACGCTATGAAACTCAGATACATCCTCTGTGTATTGTGTTTTCTTGTGAACAATTACATTTTAAATTTAGCCTTCTTTTCACAGTGCTTTTCAAGAGTGGTTCAATTATACAGGTTTTCTGCTATTTGACACAATGCTTTGTTTTTCACCCTAGGTGCTATGTCACTTCTTTAATTTATTTTTTTTTGGTTGCAGATTTAACATGATTTTTTAAAATTACAATCTATAACTGTTTCAAAAGCTGCCTGGCTTGTTTTAATCAATATTACAGATTTTTGTAGATGTGATTTAAGATAATGACATCCATAGCTACAGTACTTACTGTATAAATACAACACTGAAACAGAAAAAAAAAACAATTCCATCTGTGATTGCAGTTGTACCTGACATGCCAAGAGTTCTGATTTTATAGTTCTGTATTTTAGCTTTAAAAAGGAAGACCTCTTAGTTATCATATTAACCAACTTTCCAATTTAAAAGAAAGCTTGCTTAATTGCCAGTAAACGTTGGCTAAGATCACAGCTATAAATTATAGGCTGTGACAGGACCAAAAATCAATGAGGAACATCTGATACAGCATCTATCAACCCATAAAACACAGCTTCAGAGTCCAAAACAGACTCCAGTCATTTCCAAAATGATGGATAGCTTTGTCCTAAACCAATCAATATATATTCAGCACATGCACAGAATAAAACTTGGGATCATTCAGAAAAGGAGAAGTCAAACTAAATAGATAATGCAGTTGTCATTGGGGTAAAATCAAGTCATAACCCTGGCTTGTAAAACTTGTAGAATTCCATACAGGAGGAAGCATGAAGACCCCACAAAAACACCTGTTGGGCTTTTCCCTGTGCATTTCCCTGTGATTCTGCTGAATAAAATAATACCAATAGCGCATATTGTGTTGCTGATTGGTTTCAATTAATGGTAAGTAGGATGTAACTCATTTGGGATATGGATTCATGTCCACATTTTGCTTGCCAGAAAGGGAGATGGCTTTCTATGGCTGCCTTTATACTGTATATTTCACATTGGAATCCTGAACTCCTGTCTAGAAAAGGCAAAGTTAGCAAACAGCACAGCGATTCACATCCTTTCCATTTAATATTGTGGGATCTGGAAGTTCCAATCTTAAAAATAGACTTAAAACATCATATAGGAACCCACTAACAAGTTAAGTACATTTTGCGTAGATAAGATTTTTACTGATGATCATGTTTCAAAAAGTAGATTTACTGAAAGAAATATCCCTTAAAATAATTAATGTTGTTTGTCCTTGACAATAGCTTGGCTGCAGAAATAGCCGTTTGGAATTAACTTCTATTCTTGTGGATTGTATAACACATTCCTTCTTCGTATGAAGCACAGTCAAACTGTCATTTATAATAATAGAAATGTATTGTACCTTGTACATGCCCATGAATAGTTTTGTACTGCACATGGGCACATCCTACTACAAGTGATGCTTAATTGCCTTGTGTAAGGCAATTATGTTTAATTGTATTTGTTTGTAAACCATGAAAAATGGTATTTCTGTCTCTGGCTCAGGTTCTCTGTTTTCTTCATTCTGAAAGGATGATTTCAGAAATTTTCTCTGAATTTTAAATTAGTGAAATGTCTTGGTTTTTTTTTCAGTTTTGGATATTCCAGAGTCATACGTATCTAACAGATTTGGTATTCAGAATTGTAGAGTTGATTATCTCCATTCGTATGTCATTGACAGATCAAAATGCGGTTTTGATCACCTTTACTGATTTTACTGCAGTCAGCCTAGACAATCAAACTGTTCTTTTCTTACCCATAATATGACCATGACTTTCAAGACAGTTGCCATAGAGACATGTTAAGGATTGCTATTATTGCTGTCTTCTCTACTGTACTGCTTTGCAACATTGTGTTTAAGGTTCAAGGCTAAATCTGATCGTGACTATGTAATATAAAATAGTTTTGTCTTCCTTTCATGTCATGAATCTGTCCTGTACAATTGTTTTGTCTTCTCTTTCTTTCTATGTAGAGGCCTTGAAAGATACAGTAACTATCATCTTTGGAACACCCGGGGGCAGGGGTGCCTTTACAGGATCTTTGAATGGGAAAGTCTCAGGAAAAACAGACGAGAAGCCATAAAGTAAGGTAGAAACAGTGCTTTTTTATATGCTGTTTAAAGAAACAAAAACAGTGTGTTTAAAACAAAACAGCTTAGCTCTTATTTGAGCTCTGAATAAATAACGTCTTGTATTGTTTATAAATAAGGCTGTGGACCTAATGCGCTTGCTAGCTTTACGATAAAGTCTCTCAAAACTTCTCCAAAGCATTCTTACAAACACCAAACTCAGTTGGTTTCTTCCCTCTGTGCTTCCTTCTCCCTATGGTGCAACACATAACGGTGCTTTTGCAAGCACCCCGCATAGCTGAGGTGAACCGTCAATTGGGAAGCTTATGGCTTCCACCAGTTGGTCAGGTGACCCGAAGATGGCAGGTCATTCCTCTTTGCCCTGTGGACAGTGTGGTTAGGACACAAATCGCCATCTTGTCTCCACCTACTATATCTCTGAGCTCTACATTTTTAAAAATCATTTTATTACAAAATAAAACTCATTCATAAGCTATACTCTTTATAATATTTGCTACAAATATAGATAAAGCATGGCTAGCCTGGAGCACTAGATGAACTTTAAGAATATAATTTAACAATTCTTTGTAAAGGATTTTCATAAATTGCTTTACTGTATATTGGTAGAATATACTTAAACATGGCTAAAGTAAGTTTTTTAGATTGTGATTATTTCCAGCTACTTATTTTACTCTTCTGCATTGAGAATAAAAACAGTCAGTTCTTTCTCAATGCTTGATTCTTGATGAAATGAAGGTTGCTCATAAGACGTTATGAGCATTTTGTATGGATTTATTAATATCAAAACCCTAATCACAAGTCAATTTTCTACAATACCGGGGCATTGTAATTTCTTATTACTTATTAAATTAGATCAGCAAGGGCTGGAGATGCAGAAGTCATCCATCTTCCTAATAAAAAAGTCTGCTTTTCATATTTTTTAGTACAATTCGTCTCAAATGGCAAATTGATTTGTGTGCCCCATGACCTTTGGAGGTATATAACAAAAAAGGTTAGTTACAGTGACCTGTTATGAAATTGCTAATGTGTTCTTTTGGTTTTACTTATCCCACACTGCATTTGCCAGAAGCACTGGTATGCAAAATACAGGTAATTGGATTTCAGCCCATCACTTTTTTTAAAGTAAAGAGTAACAGTAAGACATTTGGCAAATGCTAGATTACTGTATATCATGACTTTCTTACCCCTGACATGTAAGCAAAAGTGAAATGTAACTAGTTTAAATCAAGACTAATTTATACACAAAAACATGTGTAGACACCAGTTAAGCACTTCAATGTAATACAATCAACACTTCTGGATATAGTCTAGAACAATTAAAAGGAATAAAGGAACAGCTTAATCCCAAACAGTTTTGTCATCTCTTCCACTATGCCTGCTTTGTGATCATTTTCCTATTTGTCTATGAAAGGAGATTGCTGTATAGAATGTTTCAGAAGGTGTTGCCAGACATTCTGACGAATTATTCTGATTCACTCTTTACAAAAGCTTTTCATTTCATTTCAAACGTACTAATTATCCATATTGATTTTAATAGCTTTTCAGGCATTCCAAAAGGTTTCTTCATATTAGGTATTCAAGGAAACAAGATTCTATAAGTTTTTGCACTAAAGCTGCTCTTAATCCTCTTGACTTATTTTTGATAAACCTCAGTAAGCATTCAATCTGATTACAGCTAAAACAAGTTAATTAGGAAATTGGAAACCACAATTCCCACATCATTAAGACCCTTACGGTCACTTTCCTTGTATTTATTTCCAGCTAATTAAGGCTACGATGGACCAATTACCCTGAAGTGTTAATTTTTAAAAGTTAGCAAATGGCCACTGTGTAATGTATCATTTCTAATTATCAGCTCCACAATTTAATCTGTTTCCTCGACTGAAAGATATTAAGGCAAAGGTCTGTGGTATATCTAAGAAGGCTTTATAGGAAACATGTTGTAAAGTACAAAAGTACATCAGAGTCATTTTAGAGGAGAATATTACAATTTCTCTTTTTAATTTATGTGCATGTATCATATAAAGTACGCTTAATGATGACCTCTTCAATCAGTGGTGCCAAACCACTTAAATCTGGTTTACACAGTCTATGATTTAAAAGAGTGGTGTTCAGAATCGCCTCTTTCATGTTGGTACTGTTTGTCACTTAGAGGTGTTAATAACATTGATTTTATCCATCACTTTGAGGACAGATCTAGCGATCAGTGATTGCCTATAGAATTGAGAATATGGCAAATTTAGCACTGCTTTTACACTAATTAGCCACGACACTCATTTTAATACCCCAGTTGTTTTTTTAATTAGGGCCTTAATTTAGACTTAGACACTAGACTCAAAAACAGCTTCTTTGGTCATCACTACAACCTATTTATTTTTCCACAACATGTCTATGATTCCCGTTGTCTACATTGTGTGGTTTTGTCTGTTGCACTGTGTATGTCCTGAGAGATCAGCGCGATCAAGAATTCCAATGTACAGTACGTGTGCATATGGCAATAAACTACTCTACTAGATGATAACGTTGTGCGTACCTTTGATCGTTCCACACTGATGTCCTTTAATCAGATTATCGAGAAGTACAGTACTGTACAACATCCTTAGACAAGATTTTTCCGCTATTTACAGATAAGGAACTTTGTAAAGAAAAAAAAAGCTACACACCTCACAGATTTCCATTTTCCATCTGTTGAGAGTCCTGTTTTTCTCACAAAAGGGGACAGCTCTATTATTGGTTTTTTTTATATACTGAAGAACTACTCTAATACCAGTTCTTGGGGCCTGTGGAGTATCTATGGAATGTGTTGAATGGAAGGATAACAGAGGAGATGTGGAGAAGAGGTCTGGAAGAATACTGAAAAAATAACCCTCTGCAATAGGATAAAAGCCATTCAACTTAAGATAATAAACAGAGTACATATATCTCCCAGTTCAGGACATTCAGAATGTATTTATCTTCACTGTGTCCTCAGTGCAAAAAGGACATACAGTAGGCAGTCTCATTCATTGCCTCATGATCCTATGTTAGATTGCAAATTACTTTTGCAATCTAACACATCTCTCAGGAAATCCAGAAAGGTTTGGGAATTGAGATTGGATGTCTCTCTTACTTGGCCTTCAAAGTAGCCACTTAATTAATAATACTTATAATTTATGATATGTATTCTGTATGTGCAAAAGAAACCCATACGATATATGTATCTGTTGATATAAAAGAAGAAAGCAAACGGTTTGAAAAAGACATTGCTTTCTTCTATCAATCAGCTTTTTACAGGTTGTTGATCAACAGTGAATACAAACCATCAGACGGAAGTGAAATTGAATACTGAGAACAGAAGGTACATTTTTACACAAATGGTCATTGGAGTTTGGAATAGACAACTCACCCATGCTGATATTCTGGCTTCCTATGGAACAGAAGGCTGGATGAGATTCTTAGATCAATTTGCCACTGAATTTAGAGAATGGCTGAATTGCCTTCTCCATATGTTCTTCAATTAGTACAACTGAGCATTTCCCTTCTTTGTGAGCATAATATTCCATTGGTGGTTTCTGGTTGGTGGTTGGATGTGAGTTTCCTAACGGTGAGATACAGCTTTAAAAAATCAAATAAGGGTTGGCTTTTCAGTCCATTTAGTTAAAATGGCTGGTAGTCATTAATTGAATCATTAGATATCAGGGTATCCATGAATGTGGGATTTGATAGTTCCTATTTTACAGTGCTCTCTCAGTTCCTGCAGCTCCAACACCAGCTTCTGGATTTTAACACTCCACTGTGTTAATAGTCTTGTTTTATTTGTGCTATCAATCTCTTGCATACCACCAATGTCAAATCTCAGTCTCTAGCCAAATCTCAGGTATCAGTAGGAAAGAAAATGAACCCAGCAACAGACTAGATTCCTCTAGTTACTTAACAAGTTGGATCTCTTTCTCTAGAAGCTTTTCTTTCAAAACTAAAGGCTCTACCTTTTAAGACAGTATATTAATGAGTTCTAGCCTGAACCTGGTATTATTTTTGGATTTAGATTGGGGATTCTTAGCCTGCGTTTAAATTGGACTAAACAAATGGTTGTAATGCCAAATTGGATTACCAAAAGTGTGTTTTTTGGTGTTTGCATCTTCTTTTAACAGACTCTCCTTTCAGTCATTGCACTCTTTATTACTGGCCGTATTGCCACTAGTAAAAGGCTATTACAAAAATGGTGACGTATCCATGTTAAGATTTAATTAGAGGATGTTCACCAAGAAATCTAATTGAGTTTTCTATAGCCAGCCAAACTCATGTTTACCTCTTCCATTACTGAAGAACTCTGCCACTGGTAATGAAGGGAAGACAAATAGACAAATACAGTTTTTCCATGGTGACAGCTTGGAAAAGGAATATATTTTCAGGGCATTAAAAGGTGCATTTTGGCAAAGAGACAAAACTTTCACAGCAAAGTGATTCCAGCACAACAAAGGTGTTCAGGGTTGGTAACATATTTTCTCTCAGACAAGTCCCATTAGCTTGGCAAAGTAATGATTGTCTACCTGCCTAATAACACAGATCCATCAAAGGCTGTGCACGGATACATATGGCCTTAAAGCGGTCACAGGCTGACTGACTGAATTTAGGTGAGCCCAAACAAAATATATTCCCTGTATGCAGCTGTGGAGTTTGACCTTTTGTGGTTTTGAACATGGCTTCAGGGTATCTCACCTAGTGTCTGAACATCAGCTCTGCCAATGTTACTCCTGAGCCGAGGATACTAGTCAAACACAGCTTTAAACAGGACATGGTGTTCAAACTTCCCTGCTCTAGCCTTGCAGAAATAATGAAAATCCTGTCTGAGCATTCTGTTCTCTGGAAGTCGACATCATCTTCTACCCTGCTTTTAGAGGATAAAGCAGTACTGGGGAAAGTTACTTGACATTTGGGAAAGTAATCCACTACAGTTCCAAGTTCTGTTTTTAAGGGATCACTTTTAACAATGGCTGAGAAGTTTGGGAAAATTATTTTT